TGGAGTCATACGGGAATTCATTGCATTGCGATTGATTCTAAAAAGGAGGAGCTTGGCCTGCTACAGTATCCAGAACAAACTTGGGTAAGGGTCACTCTAAGTCCATAAGGCAACTCGTGCTCTTCTTCTGCTATTGCTGGTGGTTTGACTCCAACTACGACATTCACTAGAAAAGAGTGAAACACACATATGAACATGAAAGTGTTCTGTTGATAAAAAAAAATTGTTACAAGTAAATCTCTCAAAAACATTTTTTCTGTTTTTCCACTTTCGAACTATTAGTAATTTCAAAAGTGAAAAGATTCATGAATCAATGAACTGTATTGCTGAATGAATGTTGGGATGCACAAGGCAGAGTAAAAGTTGCATTACTTTTTAAAAAATTTCGCTATATGATAACATATTATCTGTCCTCTCTTCTTTTGGTGCCTGATTACCACTGATAGGGTTGTGGATTTCAATCCCTCGGTAGATATTTTAAAATCACCAAATGTACAATATTTTAGACATTAAGATGCTAGTTGGAACCGATTTAGGCATTATAATACAAACTTTATTTCAAAGTACGACAATTTCTAATAATTATGTTTATCTTTTGGCTAAGCCGTGTGTTAGAATGGAAAATAAAAAAGTGGTACATCATATTTCTATACTCTGAACAGGGATATTCAGTTTGTCACGAAGTTTTGTAACACCCAGAAGGAAACGTTGGAGACCCTATAAAATATATATATGTATAAATGATCAGACTGAAAAGCCATGCCCATCTATCTGTCCGTCTGTATATACGCGAACCTGATTCTCAATTTTTTAGATATCGATGTAAAATTTTGCACATACCCTTTTCTCTCCAAGAAATTGCTTATTTGTTGGAAGTACCGATATGCGATCACTATAGCTACCATATCATACAAGCTGATCGAACAAAGTAAAGTTTTTGCATGAAAACTTTCTTATTTTATTTGGGAAGAGTATATAGCTTCGGTGTGATTTCAGTTAACGCTTTCCTTATTTAAATTTTTTAATTTTTATTAGTTAACAAATTTTCAAATTCTTGCCTACATTTAGGCGCATAATTTATTAGAAATGGCGAGTTCATATATATTTAAGACTATTATAACATCAATTAAATTATATTTTAATAATTTTTGTAATTTTCAACAACAATTGCAAGAGTTTCATGGAAAATATATTTTTTTGGCTCATTTGAGTCTTAATTGAATAGGAATTCATATAAAAATATAATTACAAAAATTAAAACAACTAAAAAAGTTTTTGGAAGATTGTCTTAAATTGAGTTAAATTGCAGTTACCGGCAAATATTTTGCCTTTAAGGCTTAAATATAATATCGCTTTATTCAAAGCCATCATTTCCACCTGAGACGGTCGCTGTTGAAATATCGTTTAATATATTTTTAGCTATTCATTGCGAACTCTGTAGCAATGTGCAATCAAACGGTAGCCAATTGAACTTTCGAATAACAAAAATAACAAATTAACCAAATTTAATAAATGCTTTCAATTCCTGTGACAAGTAAACAAAGCCACACACAGAAAATGTTGATGGATATAAAAATGCGCACAACGTGTGTAGAGATAACTGTGAAATCGCTTTCAAAATGAAATATTTATTACCAATATAACAGTACAGACGATATCTGCAGAAATCAAATATATTTATATAGCAAAAAAAAAACCAGATATTGAATGCCACAAACACCTGCCACGAGCACATAAAGTTCGACAAATAAAAAGACAAATAGTTTCTAAAACAATTTCGTTTGCCATTTATATTCAAATTTTTTGTTCAATCCAAATTAAATTCGTAATCAATTTAAGTTGTCAGAAATGTTAAATGTCGCCTGTTTAGTACTTACTTGTATTGAGCATGACTCGCACTTCTACCTGCTGTCCATCACTACGAATTTCAGCATTTTAACTTGTCATTTGCTTGCTGTCGTCTTAGTTCTAGCTTCCGATGACTGCCTTCACTTTAATATAGTTTGACATTGTTTAACTGCCCTCTATTCTATATTCTATTATTCAGAGAATTGAAGACATAAACTTTTTTTACTACTAACTACCGCTACTTTGCCCCGCATACCAACGGCAATTACCGGGTCTGTTATAGCCCTTGTGTTTTACGCATACACACTCACTCAAGTACTTATGTGTTTGTGTATGTGTGGATTTGCATGTAATTTGTAGTCATTCCTCTACCTGCATTTCCGAGTTCGCCGCACAGAATAAACTAAAAGAATGTTACTTAATCAATAATTGTGACACGAACTCGAAGGGCAGACGGTTCGGTTAGCAGCAAGGAGCTTTAAGCCAATAAGTCAGTACAATAGATAATAATGCAAGCTAACACATATTGATACATAATTATATATGTACTTTAACTAATATATATTATAAATTTACCTTACTTAAGCACTTGGTAAAATAATTGATTTGTTGTTGCGTTAATTCGCTGCCTGCTTTTGTTGTGTACTTGACTATTAGTCTCCTTATTGACACATATAATTCTTTAGCTGATTGCTAACACTGGCTCTCTGAGTAGATTGAAATACTTCAAGTGTTTTCAGGACGACAAATCCTCGGGTTATTGGCAATTAAAAGCATATATTTCTTATCCAGCTTACAAGTATACATTTTCCCAGAGACTCTGTCATTTTGTTGTGACTCTGTAACCCTTTTCAAGGTGAAGACCGTTAATGATGATTTGGTAATCAGAATACGGTATATTAATGAAAAACAAACTGTCAGAGTTCTCACGATAATAAGTAAATTATAAGAAGGGAAGCTCATTCAGCATTTATCGGTGTTCACAAATAAAATGACATAAATACACATTAATTTTTTGCTGATTGATGTTTTGTAAACAGAACTCACTTATAGGTATGTGCTTAAAATGTATTACTCACATAATTATATTCCTTGAGATGAGAGAATGAAGAAATATATTTAAGAGCGGAAGTGCTTTGTGCTGACAGTTTTGATAAAAGCGCGAGTTTTTAAAGTCCTTCTGAAGAAAATACTAAAGTTGTGTGCTGTATGTTGCTCTTAATTAACAATTTTTGTGTATAGTGAGATCTTTTACTGGTAGAGATACGAAGCCAACACCCTCAAAATAGTAATTACGTCGGCACTTAAGAATTCAAACCAAATCTTGTAGGTTACCTTATTCGCTTTGTTAAACCAACGTTGATGTTTTTCTGTGATCATTCAATATTCGTTCTTAAAACACCCTTTAAAAAATCAATTGACATAAACTAAATCAACAGTTTTGAGGTTAAGGTGAAATAATATTTAATATATAAATTAATTCTTTAAATTAATTTTTATATATTTTAAAGAAATATTTTTGACTTTTTACCTCTACTTGGCACTACTTTCGTTTATATGCAATGCGTAGTCTATAAATTCTCTTAGTCAAAGTAAATATGATCAATAAAGTGTGTGCTCATCATAGCACGAATTCATAGTCAATAAAATACATTCCTGTCTGAATACAACTATGCGGAGAGAGAAGAAAAATATACGCAGTGCAAGGAGTGCGGGAAGGCGCACAAGGGGTAAATAACCCAGGACAATTGCTTCCAATCCTTTCAAATGTAGCCTGACATATGTTTTTCTATATAATTATGTATGTACATGTGTATGGCTATTGCAATAGACAAGAAAAATATTTGTATTTCCATATCTGGACAATGCTACTTAGCAAGTCATACAATAAACTATAGTGTGATTGCATTGCATATAGTAAATACGTATAAGGTAGACTGAGGGAGGAAGTGAGTGATAGAAAATATTGTCAGACAAACTATTTACTTACATCTAGAGTTATCCGCTATTTGGTAATACTATTTGAAAATTTTTTTTAGAAAAATAACTCTGTAATAGAATTATTATTTGTGCTTTTGAGAAGACGGTGCAATATTGGGAATCAAAGTAAATAGTATCAGCAGGTGACTCCTTAATGACGTAAATGCGATATATATTTTTTTAATTGAAAGTTTACTTAAAGTATTAAAGACAGCAGCACAAATCTTCGTGTATATATGCATAAGATATCTTGCAAGCATGTTAAGGTCACACTTCTAAGGTTTATCTTAAAAGTTTTTATTGTTTTAAAGAAAATAAAATTTTTTTTAAAAGTTCGAATTTATTTTTTAGAATGGCTGCAATTGAGGGTTATATATCGATTACAGCGATATTTTAACTTATTGTTATCATTTTTATAGTACGACTGCCTTTTGCTTAAGAATAGGCCAACATCTCGGAAATTTCTTTCCAGCAACCATTCGTTGGAAGTCTGAAGATAGAAACTGAGAGCAGTTCCAAAGAATACGGTTTATTCAGGAGCAATTTAAAGTTTTAAAATTTTTCCATCGTTTAAATTAATAGGTCATACGGCAAAACGGTGAATTGTGAGCTCGCACTCATTGAATTTTCTAGCAGACTGCTAACGAATAGTTGTTTGGCTCAGAGTCTGGGTAAGTTTCACCAAGGCATTTTTTGTTATGAGCAGCACCATTTATTAAAAAAATAGTTTTTCATTAACACTAATAATTTATGCAGTTTGTTTTTTAAATAATAAAAATCACTCAAAATTCTATATCTCAAATTCACGAACCGGTTGTCCAAGAGCTGTGAAAGTAGAGGTGCTCTTCAGGGTTGGAATTAATTACAAATGCAATACACTCAATTCATAGAAACGATACGAACATTTCAGCCTCCTTGGTATTTCCTGTGTCTATACTCAGATATATATCTATTTATATCATAGTTTTCTTATTAAAAAAAAAAACATAAGCCCAAAGTTCTGGCAGTCAGGGATTCTTTTTTATTACATTATAATTTTTCACACTCTGAACAGGGTATATTAAGTTTGCCACAACTTTTATATTTGAAAACTTGAAAATTAGAACTTCGGTGTAACTAAAGTTAACATTTTTTCTTGGTTTTTATTACATTTTTTCTTTTATCTTTCATCATTGAACATTCTTTTTGTTTTTATATATTTTTGCTTCGCAGAACAATAACGTGTTAATATATCCAGAGCGTTGGCAATTATTGCACACATTCATTACAATGGACATATAGCTCATCCTCTCTGGCTATAAATAAACGATCCCACATGATTTCTTGTATGTTCTTGCCCTCATTCAACTCTGGCTCTTCGCTACTCATTTGTCTTAATACATTGTTGGCTAAAATTTGTCTTTGTTTCCATGGTTAATCATTTAATAATGCACATAGCGCGTGTGAAAGCGTAGAATTATTGAAAATTTCTTGACGCGTCGCTTTAATGACCACGCTGACGTTGACAGCGGAAGGAGCAAGGAAGCCAAAATCATAAAGAGAGAAATACATGACATAAATAAATCAGGCACAAAGTGTAATATTTAATTGCAGCTATATGCAACGCAATCACAAGACTCTCTCACACACATACACACATGCACACATAAAGTCTTGGTTTACGCCCATTACATTTGCACTTTTATTGCGCTTTTCGCATTTATGTCTTTTTGCTAGCCTTCGGCAGCTTCGCTTGTTTATTTAGCTGTTGATTATTGAGATGTCCTATAAGTCATATGCATAAACAAACACCTACATGCAGATGCTATGCTCTTGTCTGCACACTCATGCGTACGATCGTTGGTCTTTTTGTAATTTATTGCTTCGATAAAGTGAATCATAAAAACGCCGACAATAAGTGGCAGTACTCATAAATCGTTCAGCGTGTATTACTAAGGATACAACCTTAAATCTACTGTACAAAAATATATGCGAAGTCTGTGTTTATGCATGTGCTTATGACTTCCGTTATGCACATTGGGAAATGTACGGCACTTCGAGTTGCAAACACTCGCATCTATACGACATACTAGCAGATCTATATATGCGTAACACAGCAGGCCTTAGCAGTAAGTACATTGGTGCTTACAAACTCATACTCATATATGCGTAAATGTGTGTGGGTGTGTGTGTTGTGTGCCCACTGGGGCGTATAAGTACTCTTGTGACTTAGTGTCAGCACTCGTGTTGCTTGCAAGTACCAGTGAAAGCGCATACAAGCATAAATATGTATTTTATGTTATATACGTATATGTACATATGTTTATCTGGGTGCACACAGCGCAGCACATTCGCTCGGGTTTTTCGACATTACTTACTCGTATGTACATATGCGTTTGCGTGTGTCACGCGTGCTGCTGCCAACAATTGATATTGAACTTTCTTGTCTAAATTATGCCATCCAACGGCATTGCGTTGACTCGTGGAAGCCATAATTTACGATTTTTGTTTGTTTAAAATTATGTTAAATGCGTTTGCTTCATACTTTGAAGCAATATGTTACCGTTCACACACTCATCAAATAATTCGTACTTGAAGCTAAATTATGACTATATTATTTATATATACTATAAATATTGCTTATAATATTATTTATGATATCTAAAAGTGATAATGTGAATTGAAACTATATAGTACAGAAATCAAAGTGTAAGATTGTATGGCTTAAAAAGTTTACGTTTTTTGACAATTCTTTGCTATACCTTATAACTTTTGGTAACACTCATTTTATTTTCAAATATTTCTTTTTGGAGAAATTATGTATAATATATTATTTCAACGTTTCTATTCACTCATATCAGTTAATATTTAACAAAATAAGAGGTAAAGGTAGAGATTATGATCAAATATCATCTGATCAAAATTGACCCGGACTGAAAAAAAAGGATGTCGAATTTTGGATTTTTCAGTTTCGGTTCATTTTTCGATCACCCTTCGACGTTATATTTATAAACTCACGTTTCGTCACCAGCAACGATGCGTTTGATGAATGTAGAATCCTCAGCTTCGTTGTTACGTATTTCGTTTGCTATCTCTCTACTCGATGTCGTTTTTGCAATAGATTCAGGTATTTTGATATACCTAAGTCTAGCAATGACATGCTTCATACACAAAATATTAACCAAAATGTATGGAGCCGATCCGTGAGAGATCAATTTTCATTAGTTGTTATATTCGATGTTATGAAACTCTCAATCAAACTTTGTATACAGTCTACTAGATAAAATGCGATAACCCAAGATACAACGAATCTCGAAAGCATACCATTTCATAATATTTGGTCCTATACTTACTATTTACCACATCCTTAGTGTTATATCTAAAATCTATATTATAATTTAAATATTATATTATAATTTTAAAAATTCCGGTTGAGTTACGAGTATATTACTGCTCTCGTTTCAATCATCCCGAAACTAGTTCAATAAAAATCGATGTTGAAATAGCGCACAAAGCCACATGTCAAATAATAAAATTCTTTTATTTCTCTGCGTTATTCTTTAAACAGTTGAGCTGATATTTATGTGTGTTTGTGTGACATATAAAGCATAAAATAATATTTTCTCTTAAACAAAAATGTTATTTCTGGTATTTTAAAATTTTTTCGACTCATTGACTTTCAATATCGCTTTCTTTCGCTCAATATAACAACAGGTCAAAGCCATAGCTTCCAATAGCTCCATTAAAAACAAACAAAATAATAAACAACACAATCTAACTTAAATACGATGTGGTAATATATGTATGTGTATATACGAACTGAATTTGCTTATCGGCAATCTTTGCGGTCAAACAACTACGATTATTTTGGCAATTTCGACTTAATGAATGAACTTTTGCAGTTCGTTGCCTCTAGCGTCAAAAATTGGCAATCAATAGGCAAAATACGCGCTCCTTGCCCATTACACAGGGTTGCACATGTGTGTGTGTGTGTATGTGTGCGGCTTGTGTGCTGCCAAAAGCAAACATGAAATATACATCCACCTGATGCTGATATTTGGGCGCAACAATTCCCTGCCGCATATTCCGCGTCGCGCCGCTCGTTATAGCTAACGTTTCACCATTTCACGTATTTGTTTACAAAATTTCGCTTTCACCGATTTTACCAAGCGATTGCGGAATGAATGATTCAATTTGTCAATATCCCTTTATCTTGATCATAGTTGTTGCTATTGTTGCTTATTTTGTATTTCCACGCAGGCAAACGACACGCAGCCGAATACTACACGAGTAAGCTTAAATATCTAAGTGTGTGTGTGTGTGCGCTTGCATGTGTGTCAGGCAGTGAGCCAGCAAGTGATTGAGAAATTCGGTGAACATTGCACAATTTCACTTTCATCTATACACACTCGCAACACACACACAATTTACGCAACATTTAAAACATTCGCTTTCATTTTAGCGTTTGTTGTTGGAGTTCTGGCATTTAGTGCATGTTTCGTTGATGAGCAAATAGTGCAATGACTACCTATGTACTAATGTATGTATGTAGTTGCCACCTGGCTGCCACATTCGCTGCTTGTTGGCGGCCTATCATGTGTGTGTGTTTACATAGGCACTAATTTTTTGTGTTTTGTGTTTTTTATTTTCAATTTTCAATGAAGCGCGTTTGTTTGTTTGTGATTTTGTCTATTTGGAATCGATTTCAGGCAACGCGTCTCAGCTGCGTTGGAATTAAGGCAGAGCAAACGAGCAAAAAGTCACTTGCAATAAGACATGTGTACGCGTAGCAAATATAGACTGACAAGCTGACAGGCTGCAAAACTGAGGAGATTTATTTTGTTTGCACACAATTTGGGCGCGAAAGTAGCGCGAACTCTTGACTATTTATAAAGCTGAATAGGAGAGAGTGGGATGAGGCGGGAATGACGCTAGTAGAAAACATATTAAAGCTGGACAAATGTTGAAAATATAATATTAAATTTAAGACTTTATTTGATTTTGTGATAAAATTCAAAAATTTATAATGAAAATTATATTGAAAATAATTAAACAAATTTAAATAGAAGAATTAACATGTGCACTTATAAAATCACTATTTTTTTATAGAAACTCTAATTTGGTGTCATTAAAAAATGTATGCGAGCTATCACCTAAAGTTTTAATTAAAAGTTGTTAAAGCTTTTTAGAAAATCTCTTGGCTTTATGCATAAGAGCAAAACGAGATTTCATATTTGAGCAATGACAAAACAATTTTCCGTCTAAATAACCAAAAAGCGATTTTAGTTCGAGACTGAAAAAAATAATTTTAAAAAAATGCTTCAGAACCATCAACTGCATCAAAAAATACTTTGAGTATCAATCGTAAATGAACATTGGTACAATCTGCTTCATTTATATAGTTTTCAGTAACGAAAAAATTGAGATCTATTACTAATCTTACGCTCTAATATGTGAATAAAAAAAATTGCGCAAGATTAACAAGTACTTCAGTTAAATTGTGTTAGTATTATTATATATTTTACAAGATAATCAACATACATTTGATGAGGGATATTCAAAAGAATCTTATACACCGCTATTTTGCCTTCTAAAAGTCATTAACTAGACTTATTTTACAGTCTGATAAAATTTGAATCGGATTGGTCCACTTAAACTGCGCGCGCAAGCGAAATCCATAACATTTTTTTCTTAGATTGAATTTTTTTATGTTCGTGTGCAGTTTGTTCTCTACATGTCAATTGGTCTGTGTTTGGCAGAAGAAGAGGATCTCAAAGTTTGTCATGGATCGGCTGAACCTTTTGGAAATTTGCTTTTTTGTCAGTCCGGGCCAGTTTTGACAGTAAATGGGTTATAGAATCTTTATGCAAATCTAATATGAAATATTTCTTAAATTTGATTGTTTTGAAAAGGCTTTTGACAAGATTTAACATCAACAAGCTAAGAAAGAGATATTTGATCAATCGAATAAATAATATTTAAACACATAATAGGCTTGGATCTATAGTTTTTTAGACTAAAGAGGACTTTGAATAGGTTTTCCTTGCTTTTACACGTTTTTAAGTTTTTATGCAAAAATAACTTTCGATGTCCACAATTACAGAAGGTCTGATCTCATATAATAGACGTGACGGTGAAGTGACTGTGAACGTTTACTTACTAGTCTTGCTACCTGTTTTTCGATCCTACGATCAAATTCATTATAACTAACTTGTAATTTTTTGTGCTCATGACTCTCCAATAGTTATTCTTGGTGCTTGAGAAGAAATATGAATGGTAATACTCTATATTTCAAATACAGCCAGCAATGCCAAAAATCCAACATTTTTTTTCCATTATTGCTGAAGATTCTAATTTATGTAACAGCAATAATTGTTTTAATTCATTCTCACAGATTGTGGTTACATGAACTTGTTAATGCCCCAAAAACTCGCCGCTCATTACCGCAATCGCTACTTATATGAGCCAATACTTACGCAAACAACACTCGATGTCGAATATTCCAAAGCTTCTTATGTTCACTCAAGTACACTTTGATACTCGTATGCCGTGAGTGCTCGTGGTAATGTCGCATGTCTGGACCATCTTCATTTAATCCTATTCATAAATACATAATTACAAGGCGAATTACGTTCGCCTGCATAAATGTGCATAGAAGTACAGAAATGTAGAGTAAAGATAATTCGTTGTGATCCCAATACATATGTATGTATGTATGCGTGCACTTCAAGCATACCTTTGTACTAAATGAACGCCGGAATGCTCACAACGAGCATAAACTAGGCTATTGCTTGTGACAGCTCCTTTGTTAGCAGTTTCACACTGGCGGCTAACCCATCAACTCACACACAAATTCAACCTCTCACACACACACACACACGCTTGAGCATGGCCCAGAGCAATGCACTGCAAGAGGAAGCGTATTTTGTGGCGTACGCGGCGGGCGATGGCGGTCGGTCTTCGTATTAAATGCGAATTATCTTATGACTCAGCAGTAGCACACTTACACTCTCATATAATATTTATATGTGTTTGCACGAGTGTGTGTGTGCGGAAAAACACCTTAATCAGCGCAATAATTGGCTTGTTTGTGTTCTGTTATTTTTCGTTTTTGCCTTTTCTGCCGTTGCTTGTCCATTCACAGACCAGTTTCACCTGCATGCGACTTTGTGTACATTGTAATTAATCGGATGATGCGTAGGAAATACAGTGGTAACAGTAATTATTACATACTGACGCTGTTGTGCGTTTACAAAATGTATGTAAATGCGCTGTAATTAAATCAATTTTGTCTTTAATGCATTACGTAAAGCAGAAATTTGTATTTGCTCTACTTAGTAAGAATGAGTGTCAAGAGTTTCGTAAGTGAATCGGAGTAAGATGCGTTAAATTGAAAAGTTTTCATACGGAGCAAATTGAATTTTCCCTACATATATTTATATATATTTCTCCATTTCGAGCTTGTGTTTTTGTGTGTGTGCTATGCTTTAAGCTTTAAATTAATTTATAATTTGTGGCGCTTTGAGAGCAAGGTGTTGTCTTAAGTCTCGCTAAGATGGAAATGACGTGCACTAATGCCTTTAATAGGATGAGATTATTGGTGTGGCTATTATTCATATATTGTAAAATATATATATAAGTTTGATATAGTAATAAATTGATTGAGTAGCCGTATTGTATCCGTAATATACATATACTAAATTAACCTGCGAATGAGATCATAAAATAATTAACACATTTGCTTTTAAAAACGTGACTTCGTTTTCACCGAAGCTATAATAATCAGCTATATGCTATAGTGGTACGATTTAAAAAATTTAATAGGAGGAGAAAACGACGTGTGTAAATTTTCAGAATCGATATTTAAAAAACTGAGAGACAAGTTTACCTATACATACATTTTGTACGATCTTCGATCTTCCCTTTTAGGTGTTAAAAAACTCGTAGCACTCTGTTCACGGTATAAAAAGTACTGAAATAAAAATTAAATTTTTCTTTAATTTAGAAGACATTATATGATGATATGTCCAACCCCCAAAACATACAGTTAATATTTGGTATTCATATTTTTTTCCAATTAATGATTGTGGAACAGGGCGTATACGTAACTTTGTTTGGTAAAAACGTTTCACATTTCATTTAAATTTTTATATCTACACCTTTATAAGTTATATAAAACATTTTTCTCTTTTTAAACTATACATCCTCGATCAAGCAGTACTTAATGAGTTTTCAACAAATAAAAAAATTATTGACGCCATAAGTTTTGATTTTAAGCGCTTTTGAAGCAAATCGCTATTTGATGAGGCTTCAAAATGCCGGCCATAAAAACATATAACTTCTAATCCACCAGAGCATTTCACTCTAAGGCACATGCATTCATTCGAGCACATTTATTACCACATTAGAGAGCAAATTTGCTGTTCACAGTCACGCAGATTTTAATTTGTAATTTTAAGTACGTTGTGAAATTTTATTTCACCACAAATGCTAAAGTTTATGCTTGCCATGAAAAATGGTAGAGGAAAAGGATTTATTTGGTTGGGAAATGTAATTAATAGACAGCAAATTCTCACAAGATATAAATTTAAATTTACTATGACATTTCATTTAACGACTAATGTGAAGAGCAGTGTGAAAGCGCAGCAAGATTTACTATATTCTTAATTAATGGCAACGCAAATTTGAATGAACGCGTAATTACTAGAAAAAATAATGTAAACAGGCCAGAATAAACAAAAGAAATCACGCAGTTGAAAGAAAAAAAATTAATTAAATGGAAGACACACAAATTTTTGGCAAAAAGACTGAAGAACGTGAAAGCGCACTAACACCAGAACATCCTTTGGCGCATACAAACAAAGATTACACGCATTACAAGGTCAAGCGCAAGCAAAAACACGAACAACAAAAGTTGCAAACACAAATATTTATTTAAGCGCCATAGCAAACGAACAAAGTCGAATATTTCAATTAAAAAAGTACAAAAAGGAAATGGAATTTCAAAACGTAAATGTAAAATCTGCGGAATGTTTTGAACTTTGGTGGAAAATGCCCGAAGTAATCGCCAGCGGCAACAATGCTCAACTAGTACTTTTCAAAGCAGTTGTCGGGGGTCACAACAAAGCATACGGAAAAACAAAACATGCCAGCAAAAGTATTGCTAAATATAAATATCATGTTGTTCCTGCTACTGTTAGAGAGCTGTTCACAAAATGTTCTTTGAATGACTGAATTTAGGTGGTAGCAACAGCTGGATTACAAGTAAAATTGAAATGAATTAAGACTAGCAGAATTCCCGCTCTTAGCAATTATGAGTCAACTGGAATCTGTTTTTTCTCAAACGCACTCAATTTTTTAAAATAGAACTTAAAAACTTATTTCTAAATAATTATTTGTTTCTTTTTTTTTTAAGTGTGGGCAATTTTGACAATGCATTTTATTCCGCTAAAATAAAATAATATGTGTTTTCAAACTTAAAGCTTAAATAATCATGATTTAAAAGAAAAATTATGGAATAACTTTAAAATACTAAAATATCAGCCGTGTAAATAAATAAAATCACACAATTACATGACTTAATAAATTTTAGGAAGACAAATATTTATATCAAGCAAATAAAGGAAAAATGTGAAAAGAAATGGCATAATGTGAGACAATGAACAAATAACCGAAAACGGTCCAAAAACTGTTATTCAGGCAATAAAACACTATCTGACAACTTTAGTGCATTTCAAAAATTAAGAAAACTAAATTTCAACTGAAAACTTAACTGAGAAAACTAAAATACTGCAAAATAATAAAAAAAAGCTATAAAAAAGTTGAGCAGCCGCAGAAGAGCGCAATCGACCGAGTATGAAATGCCACACATCAATTACTCGTAAAATGACAATTTCTATGAAGACTGATTTTGTTTAGTTAGAAACTAACAGATATTTGAAACAACTGTGTAACGCACAAACTACGTAGACGCCCGGGAGCGCACACAACTAAAGGCGAACACAACGCTCACAATATGGCAAGCAACGACAGAACACTCTATCGCAAGCGTTTTAGCACCGGTATTGGCAGCAGCAGCTGTACGATGGAGCAGAAAATTCTAGTACTCATGGCAGTCGTGATTGCAAATGCTTGTATAGCAGGTAAGTGCGCCTAAAAGTATTCTTTGAATAAGTTATTATAAAATATTATTACTACTTTAGCATTTGAAGATTTGTATTATCATTTATATGATATGAAGGTGTATGGTAGGTGTTTAAGCTATCAGCACTTTTTCTTTTCTATTTTAGAACTCAGAAATTTTTTGGTGAATATTAAAATATTTTAACTTCCCTTCTTTTTGTTCACATTTACGTTAACCATAATTTTAGAAAACCAGTTTTAGTTCAAAATATAGAATACGATATTTAGGAACAATTTGTGGAAAAACAAATATTTAATACAAACAATTAAAAAACAACAACATGTACACGTATTTTAATACAAATCTAAATTATCGCCTACATAGACTCCTTAGCCAATACAAACATGCCAACGCATAATCCAATTCTCTATACACTTGTTACAAACCTCGTCTGGGATGGCCTTCAAAAGATTGAAGTATTTCGGTAGTCTTGTCTTGCACTTTTGTGTATGTCTTGTCTTGCACTTTTGTGTATGAAGTCTTGTATTGACACGCTTCATACACAAAACGTTAACCAAAATATGTTGAGTTGATCCATAAGAGATTTTGAGATCCACCTATGATGCCAACACAACGATTTTCAAGCACTGTTTCTTTAACTTTACGATGTTATTGTCATTAACAGAGGTGAACTCGCCTGTGGCAAATCTCCGATGACTTCACGATTTTCACAGAATGCTTTGGGCCACTCAAATACTTGTGTTTTTGATAAGGTAGACTCGCAAAACATTTCTGCTACATTTTCAATGATTCTGTAGGCGTGCTCGCTTTGGAAACACAAAACTTCAAGCAAACTTGTGGTTCAATTCGGCAGACAAACTTTTTGCGGCGTAACCAAACATACACCATACTGATTGACATAAGGAGATCAAACTTTACGCTAACATAAAAAAAGTTGTAACATTCTAGAAAAAAAATTCTAGTGCTGCATATCAGAATTTCAAATATTTGCACATATAAATAAAATTCCAAAAAATTCTACTTTATATATACTTTCATAGTATTTTGTATACTAAAGTCTCTTTAGCTCTGCAAAAGAGCAGCTTCCTTAATTTTAACCTCTTCCAACATACGTCAGTAGACACAGCGTTGGACTCTGCCTTACTTCCTCAATTAAGACATCTGCTGTTCTATTTTAAATTAAATTTTGCTAATATAATATACAAATATATAATACATATATGTAATATATTTTTGTATAAAAAAGTTAAACAACGCGTGCCAACAGAAACAGGATGCTTGCCTCACTTTCATTACTTGAGTCAGCCAACAGCTGAGGCACACATTCACTTAGCACAGTGCTCCAGTGCGCGCTGAGACTCAAATAGAATCCTGCGAAATTAATTTTTAATTTTAGCTTACTTTTCTTCAGTTATGCAGAATACTTATTGGTGCTTTTGTTTTTTTTATTTTTGGTGTTTACGCTTTTTATGCAAATTTGCCTTGTTTTGCCTGAATTAATTATCCTGCAGTCCTACTCACTGCAATTTATGTGCGCATGCATGTGAGGAGAACAATGCAATAACAATAAAAATGAATAAATATCTCCATTTTGTAATGCTTGAGTGTGTGCATTCGTCTCTCAGCAGTAGCTTGGTGAATCTGCCTTTTTATTCGTGTCTTATAAGTTTATGTGTGTGCAGATCTTACCTTTTCACTTTCCAGCACTATGCTTGACAGCTCATCCTCCATCTGATTCTTTGCGCGCTCACGCTTTCTGCCTCTGTAACACATGCAATCCTCTTGATAAAAGTGTATGTCGAATTAAGTGCTGTCTGTTCTCTTATTCGCTTCAGTTAGGAATATGCTTTATGCTGCTCTTGTGAGTGGAAGGCGGAGCAGAGCAGCACTCGTATATCCGCATATTTATAGGAGTATGTTTTAATTATTCAAGTGTGTTCATCATATACCATTTGTATAAGGTAAATAAATAGTAAATTCACACAGCCATGTGTGTATTAAAAATACAAATGCATTTTTGAAGATCTTTAATGTGTTCTTAATACTCAGGATTTTAAACCCTAATAGCTGTCTTATACTGGCGGTAGACTCGGAACTCAGAGCATAGTTTTATAAACTCTAAGCTCAGTCGTTTGAGTTTAAGCTCAACTCAAAGTTTGTTTTACAAAGAATCGGTTTTTGGAAATGAAAATTTGACATGGCAGATGATAACAGTTGAAAAGTGTAGTTTAACGAGCCGAAGCGGAGGCTATTTTGAAAAGTTTGCTGTTGTATAGTGTGTGGAAAGGGTTAGTAATTCAAACCTATACTGTATTACCCATTTTATATACGAAACTGCTCATACCATCGATTTAAAGTTATTTGCTGATTAAAATTATGAGTAAGTCAGAAGACAAGTTCTTGAAACGGTGTATCGGCGGTCTAAGGTACCGAACTATTGTACAAGTATATATGATTTATTATGATTTTTTTGTATTCACCTTAAACTAAAAAGGAGTAGGTTCACCTACCCAGTGGGGTGATGGAAATCCGTTTGTTTCAGCTTCGGCGAAACTCGTATGAATTTCAACGTGATTAGTACACTGCTCAACGGCATTAGAATGCAATACGCTTTTGTTAGCCTTTTTGTTTAGCTTCAAGCCTTTTATAAAAAGGTACACAGCATCCAATCGAGACAGCATACTCATTCCAAATATCACTGGAGTAAGAGTTGGCAGAAATTGTGTAGCATTAAAGAATTAAATGTAAGTTTAAAGTAGTTAATTTGTACGCTGTGCGGCTTGAGTAGAAATTAATATTCTTCCTATAAAAACTGACTGTAATTAAAGGCAAGAAAATTGTGTAGTTTATATAACAGCTTTTAGGATATACGTTAGATAAGTTAATAGAGTTTATATCGTAACTCGCAAAAAATTGTTTTTATTGCTAAATGAAATCGAAGTTTTTAACTTGAAACCCTGAACACAAATATTGTATTTATCTTTTCCTTTTCTATTTTGTAAAGGGTCTACCAACAAGAACGACGTGATGTTAAAATGAAATAAAATACCCAAATGTGGTCACAATGGTTTCTGTTTTTATTGTGCTATGCAGATAATTCAATGATTAGAACAAAATGTCGACCAAGTGGTCACTATGGCGCCGTTGGCATATCTCTACCCGTTTACGCCAATTTTCGATAACCCGGTGCAGCAAAATCAAATCTGTCAAAATCACGCCATCCCTATTGGCAGACGCTGTATATTGGGCCAAATACTTTAAGCCTATAAACGTTCTTTTTGGATATGAGAACAAAAAATTTCCAGCAAATGAGTTTTAGTTTTTTTCTCACATTGATTGGTTTTTTGGTATTACCCTATGTCGATCATCGCTAACTATTAGCTTAAACAACACAAATACACCTGCAAATCGTATACATATATATATTTGTATGTATTAAATAAATATTTCCACTTGAAAAATAAACATTACAAGTATTTTTCCAAAACCATTAATCACATGAGCTTTTGACTGATTTATAACCTTCTCAAACCGAGGAACATAAAGTGATATATACTGATTAAACGTAGTGAAGCGTGTCCAATGATATACTTATGTGATTATTAAACCTTAAACCACGTAATCAAGCACACACGCGCCATTTGTGCAGATTCAACATAGTTATCCGGACAAAGTTTATATTTAATCATGGCAAGGCAACTAAGGCAAAAAACTATTTTCCAAAGTTTCATAACAAAATTATAAGCGAGTAACGGTTAACGCTAATTAGAATTATAATTCGCGCTCTTACGTCAATCTACGTGTGTGTTACTCAAATTACCTATACTCAGGGGTAAAATATACATGTATACATATATATCTTTGTGTTCTTATATATAGATATGTATCATACGTTGATTGTATGTAAGTTTGCGGATGGATTATCGTTGCGTTTGTTATAACAGGTAGACGAATTATCTCAAATAAATGACAAATAAGTGTCAAACCGAAGCCGAAGCATTGCGGTTTCCTTTCCATTGCAGCATTGCTTCAGGCATAAATATTTATATGAGCGCCAGTAAAATAACTATTCAAATTAGTAAAGAGCATATAATATCATATCTGCTTTAATAGGCTCATATATAATTTCGAGTTGCTGATTACAAAAGTGTGATTGCAATTAAAATTAACACTCATGCTTTAGTATATTTTTCTCATTAGTTAATTTGGGTAACTTTTCTATATTTCTTTAAATCTATAAATTTAATTATAGTATATTAAACCATGTGCTATGAGCTGTGACTAATATCAACATTTTCTCTTTATTTGAAAATTTTATTGTAGTATTGCTTAGAGTATTTTCTTATATGGAATTCGAAATAATTCTCCATAAAGTGAAAGCCCCTCTTTAAAAATATTACAACGTAAAAACATTTCCAACTAAGTAATTCTAAGTGTTTTTACCACCGTTATAAGAAAGAAAATGGCCTTTATGGTATCTTACGATAATATCGTAAAAAGTTGAGAATGAATCTCGGAATACCACTCAAGATTTTATAAATGGCAACTTTTATTTACCGAAAGTCTTGAAAGTAGGGGGACTTCGCGGGACTAAACAAAAATTACGGCTTTTGGCCGACTTTCTCAGAATTTTCGAATTAATTAAATACCTTAAAAATATGTATATAGAGTTTTTTTTCAAACTATTTTGCCAATAAATTTTAATTTTCAACTCAATTATAGCAGAAACTTTAAATAAATCGATGAAAACCCGATATTAAAATTTTACACATATGATGATGATAATATATTTATTGCTCTTACACAAAACAAAAATTAATTATTATTATTCACTAAATCGCTTCTAAAATAATGGTACAATAATGATAATTTATATAAAATATTTTTTGTTTGTTTTACCACAAACTTTTCCATTCATTTTTCATATTTATAACACATTTAAAACATGATCATTTTAATCCCTATCCTCTCTGCCACTTGGCATTATATTCAAACAAT